GAATATTCTATTGAAACACCTACTAAGAATCAAATCTATGATTATGGGCTCTTTCTTATTAATAAAATTCTTCTTGCCTCAAATAAGTCTCTTTCTGAATATCTTTCTATGCCAATGTGGAATCGTAACTAGGATCTTAGTAATGGAAATCGACTTATTTCAAAACAGTTAATGTGGGATCATGATGAGCTTCAAAATTTAGTCAACACTCGCACACTATTATTAAACCATGAAAAACATGCTGCATATCAAAATATTCTTAATTCAGTAACAAATAATCATGGAAATTTATTTTTTTTAAATGGACCTGCTAGAACTGGCAAAACTTTCGTATATAATATGCTTGCAATGACAGTTCGCAGTGAAGGCAAAATTGCACTTTGTGTAGCATCTTCTGGCATTGCAGCCCTTTTACTTATTGGTGGACAGACAGCACACTCACTCTTTAAAATTTTAATTGATATTAACGAACTTTCTATTTGTTCATTTGATAAAAACTCTAATCTTGCAGAACTTCTTCGCCAAACTGCACTTATTATTTGGGATGAAGCATCTATGCAACATCATTATTGTTTTGATGCAGTTGATCGCTTCTTACGTGATATCCGTGATGATGATCGTCCCTTTGGCAGAATTACTGTTGTATTCGGTGGCGATTTCTGACAAATCCTTCTAGTTGTTGTAAAAAAGCTCAAGAGAACAAATAGTTGCTGCTTCTCTTCAACGTTCACTTCTTTAGCAATATGTAACTATACTTACTCTACAAAAAAATATGCATTTAGAAATAGAATCAGAAGAAAATAAACATTTTGCTAATTGGCTATTAAATGTAAGAATATAATTTTCAACTTATACTTACTTTATTTTTTTATTATCACTAAATAATCATTTGGTATATATAGATTGGAAATGGTTTAAACATGGAACTTGATAATAGAATTACACTTTCAGAACACATGAGAGTTGATCCTAATATATCATCTCTTATTAATAAAATCTATCCTAATATACAATTAGGTGCAACAAATGATATATATCTAAAAGATCGAATGATTTTATCAGCTCGCAATGATGATGTTCATAATATTAACTATGAAGTTCTTAATATTTTTCTGGGAGACAAACATACATATTTAAGTGCTAACAAAGCTGTAACAGAAGAAGGTGCTGATAATGGAAATATATATCCAATTGAATATTTAAATATACTTAATCCATCTGGAATGCCATCTGCCAAACTTATTCTCAAAATTAGATGTCCTATTATTCTTCTTCGAAACCTTGCTCCTTCACTTGGTCTTTGTAATAGCTCTCGCTTAATTGTAGTTCAGCTCACAGATCATGTTATTGAAGCACATATTCTTAGTGGAAATTATACTGGAAATTTAGTTTTTATTTCTAGAATTACTTTGAAACCTTTCTCAACAAGTCTACCATTTATCTTTACATGAAGGCAATTTTCTATTCGTCTCGCTTTTGCTATTACAATAAATAAATCTCAGAGCCAATCCTTAGCACATGTTGGGCTAGATCTTTGAACTTCTGTTTTTTTATATAGTCAACTTTATGTAGCTCTTTCCTGTTATATTTCATCCTATTCAATCAAAGCTCTTTTTCCACTTGATTCTTCTGACAATATTACTTTAAATGTAGTTTATCCTGAAGTACTTTTAGAAAATTAACTTTACTAAATAAATACAACAAATATATTCATACTTAGTTCTTTTAAATAGCTCTTAAAACTAAAGCATAAGATATAATTAATACTTTAATATCATATAATAAAAACTTTAATTTTCTTACTTTCTATTACTTTTGATATATATAAAAAGTAACACTAATTTTTTATTTTTGTTTTTTACAAAATAAAAAATTTATAATTAAATTTGTTAACCAATCTGATTTTTAAAATTTATATATACAAATTAAAGTATACCTTTCTGTACTAAATTACAAACTTTTTTTACTAAATCTGCATAATTTAAATTACTTTATTTTTACATCATTGCTAACTTAACTTAATTATATAATTAATTCTACTATATTACTTTTTTTTAAAGTTTTATTTATTAAATTTTTTGTCATATTAATTTAACAAATTTATAACTATTACAATAAAAAATTTTTACAACCGTGCACAATGGCACGGGTCAAATGCTAGTTTAGTAATAGCACAAAGTTTTTATTAAAACTATCAAATCATTTGGATTCATTAAGTTATCTTCAATAACTTTTTTGTTGCGTCCTGAATTCAGAATTATAAAACTTTTTGCTCAAATAAATAATCAAAGTTATAGTCTTCCAGAAGAGCAAAAAATAAAATCTACAAGATTTTTTGATGCAATTGCATTTCTTGATTAATTTTTATAATTTTATTTCGATTTTCATTCTTTTATCATTTATTATTAGTGGAAATTTGATTACAGAAATCAATATATAGTTTTAGAATATTGTGTTTATTGGATTTCATGCTTTCATTTTGAAGAATTGAAGGGAAAAAACTCACTAAATCAATTAATATTTTACTAAATATCATTATCACGATCCTAATTGTCGTGTAGTTTTCCAACTACCTATTGCTTTACTCAAATTTACGGGTCTTTTCACGCTTGGCTTTCTCTTATACCGGCGTATCGTTCAGGTACTAACCACCAAAGCGAAGACAACACAATTACACGGTTTCTTAACTAAAGGTTATTTTAGAAAACCTAATTGCGAATTCAAACTTCTGGTCGATTCCCTTAAAGGATCACGACCCTTATATATTATTAATCATTGCGTCACAATTAGACTTTTAATTAATTTACAATCATGCAAAACCCGATCACGCCATCTATGATCACGCTACACCAACCGATTGCATGGGGTACTGAAATTCACCATGACACTAATCATGATAAATTAACAATATCACATGATTTTTCGGGTGGCGATTTACCCCGGTCGTATTTTGCTGTGCAATCACCAAATTTATAACCATACTTATTTCTAATTTTAGATTCTCATTGTTGAAAAATAAGGTTTGGGCGTTGATTTGTTTGCGTAGATTTACAAAAACTAGTTGTAACCAGTTTTATTATTAGTGATAACTAAGTGATAAAATAATATTCACAATCTTAACGATAAGTCCTTATTAGAACTTAGTCTTACGACCTAGTCTGCAAGGAATAAGTCCTAATTTTAAGATATATTTATAGTAAGTCTCGTCAAATTATTAATTTTTCAATGGCTTCAATTGGCTGGATAATAGAAATAATAGTCTCTAAAGATAATACATATATGGTAGGATCTTAATGCTAGTATTTCTAGATTATTTTGATTGATTAGAACCAAGTTCAGTGGCTTGGTCTTGGACCCAACCTTGATCCTAGAACTTTCTGCAAGGGACTGGTTTTTAAAGTCTGCACGTCTGGCTTAGGACCAAGACGATCAAGATCGGACCTGGACTAATTTACCATTCCTATCTGTGACATCTAATTTTGATGATTTGCGATCAGCTGCGTGTAAATTTAATTTAAACGGTTTATTTAATCTTGGTGAGTTTTCGGAGTCGAACCTGCGTTTAACAAATAAATACATTTATAAAAAAAAAAAAAAAAAAAAAAAAGGAAATTTTTATAGCTTCCTTAACATAAAAAAGTATATATTAAATATTACAAATTAAAAAAACAAAAAAGGATCGTTAACCATACATGTTTATTGAAAATTCTCTTTACGCGCATCGACATAAACAATGATATACATATATATCAATATATGGGTTTACAGTACATATTTCTATTTCACAATTACTAAAAAAGCTTATCATTAAAACAATTATGCCGTGCTATCTATAGACAATGAGTGAAATAAATACGTAGCAATTCGCTTTTACAATGACTAGTTTTGTAAGTATATATGCGTACACTCACTGTGATGTTTATTATAAAAACATATGTCAAAAAAGGAAAGTCACAACGTTCCGTATTGGATACCGGATTTTTATGCCCAATAGTAGGTATGAACCCTTGAGTTTGTTAAAACTAGGTGCGTACGTACATGTACATTGAGGAGCAATTAATTAGTGCAGAGACTGAATAATCAGGAAGCAGAGTTAGTAGTCATCAAGCAGGGAAGTGATGATCTTGTGATTTACGTTTTATGGAATAAAGTCTATAGGTCTGTAGTATATATTCCTTAATGTCGCAGTAAATCGCAATACATCACATCCCAAGTCCCTGCCGTTGGGACTAGACTAACCACTGTAGTAAAACAACAAAACCGTGTAAGCAATAACTTTCTCATGTGCAAAAAAATAAAAAATAAACACGAAAATCTTAAACAAGCAGTTAAAATTACCTTAAGGTATCAATAAAATGCCCCAATCTAACCTAAAGGAAAAACTTATCATTTAGTACTGTGTGCATTACCTAGGGTCTTATTCGAGAAGTTCATTTTAAAACCGGGTACTATTTACGAATATACGATTTCATTGGTGGAAAAGGTACAGTATTTGTTCTTAATCAACAATATCACATAACTTAACTGTTCAGTTTAGTAACGCTGATTAGTTAAGCATAACTCCAAACACACAATGACTTGAATTTCTTAGTATAATATAGCAATAAGCGGCAAAAAACTAAAAAGATGGTGAATTGCAGGGTAAGGCTGTCTGTGAAATATATATTAGGCCTTATATTTAAGAACCTTTTTTTTTTTAGCCGGAAGCCGGTAGTGATAACTAGATAATATCACTTGGATTTAGGTTTAGGATCATATGAAATAGTCGGATAATTGTGCTAATCTTCAACAATTATGCAAAGTCCCAATTAATATAAGTAGAAATCGATCAATGTATGTTATATCGATGGTTTGCAGTACAGTAATAATTCAAAAAATATAAAAATTCAAATTGACATAATAACTAGTAAATAACAAAAAAAAAGTTCATTAAATTACTGGAGATAAATTAAACATTTAAGAAAATCAATTGAAAAATTCGAATTAAAATATTATTTATTATGTCGGGGGATGAAAAAAACAAATATTTAACAACTAAACGTGATTATAATGAAACTGTAAAAGCTTATATTGAGAGGATTAGTAAAGAAAATATAATAAATTTCATTCTTTGGAATGAGATTTGTGAAAAAATGGAATTTGTTGATACTGGTGGTTCTGGGGTTATTACAAAGGCGAAATGGATAAAAAAGAATATAACTGTTGTTTTAAAGACAGTGGTAGTTTCTGAAGAAACAAATTCAGATAACGATGAGTTTATTAAAGAGGTAAGACCGATGTGTCAGCTAATTTATTTATATGCTAATACAATTTTCCCGTTTAATGTAATTGAACAGATCAAGGCTTTTCATAATATTGGTCTAGTGCTTTCAAGTATAACGAATGAAGAAAACGAAGAAAAAACATCTCTCAAAGGAGAAATTACCTCTCTCGTAGGATATGAAAATGTAATCAAATTTTATGGTGTATCGAGGTATCGCATCATGCAACATTTAAATTATGCTATGTTATTAAATGAATATGTATTTATTGTTGAAAATTGAATTTTTTTAAAAAAAAATTGCGATATTTAGGGATGAATCTGACGAATCTGGTAAATTTTATATACCAGTATGCTATTCAATTTATGTACTAGTATTTATTGTTCGCTACTATTTTACCAATAGTTCTTTACCTGATACTTGAGTACGCAAATCACGGTAATTTGCGCTATTTTTTAAGCCAAAATACTTTAAATTGGGGACAGAAGGTCAATATTTCAAGACAGATTACCAGCGGCCTATGCTTTTTACATAAAAATGGGATTTTACATCGTGACTTAGTAAGATGCTCATTATTTAACAGTCAATTAACATTTTTTAAGACACAATTAATAAGTTTATTTTATATTAGCATACTAAAAATGTACTTATCCAAAAGGATGGAGATGACATTAGAGCTATTATTACGGATTTTGGACTTGCAAAAGTTATTCCCCGTAATAGTAAATCCAATCAGAAAATAGTAGGATGCGTACCATTTGTAGCTCCTGAGATATTAAATTGTAATGCAACACCTGACTTCAAATCTGATATATATAGCCTTGGTGTGGTTTTGTGGGAGATCACAAGCAATGGTCGACCCCCGTTTGACAAATGCAATAACGTCCTTTTAGTTTCACTTCAAATAATTAAAGGAGCACGGGAAACCCCAATAAATGGATCTACAAACTCCTATGTTAAGCTTTATACAGATTGTTGGGATGGAAATCCTAAGTTGCGACCAGAAATTGATGAGGTTTATAATTTAATTCAACAAGAAGACATAATATCAGGTGAAAAATTGGAAGATTCATCAAAAAGTTGTATTTCTGATATCGATACTGGTCCAATAACACCCAATGAGAAAATTGAGAAAGATGAGAAAAGTGAGAAATACGTTTCATTGAATTAATCGTTGAATCAATAAACATTATTATTTTTTTAACGATTTCTTATTGTCAAATATAAAAAATATACTAGAATCTAATAAGACCAGTAACGAACAAATTTTTAATAAGATGCTTGAAATGTTTGGACTGCTTTCTACCAAAGATCTTGAGATGTTTGAACAACTTTCCGCTAAAGACCCTGGTTAGTATTCTCAAAATCCTTGTTAGTGTTTTAGGAAATATTGATAAAAATCTAAGGATGCACCAGTCCTATGGACCGAATTTCATATGGTCCCGGTCCTTATATATTGTGAGCAGTTTGATTGATATTACGGAGGGCCGTTCCAGGACCAAGACCGATGAGACCGTGAGACCGGAACAAGACCGGTCTTTTTCAGTACTGGTGCAACCCTATCAAAATGGAATTATTTTAACGGATGTTTCTTTTATATAGAAGAAATGGTTCGTATAGTTCAAGCTGCTGCTGCTCATCAAAAAAAAGTTGCCAGTTCAGAAAAAAATGAACAGTGAATTTTATTATAGCTCGAAATAAGTTTATACTATATATATTCGCAATTGCCGCAGATTAAAATCAGATTAAAATGAAATGAGGGCTTTCATTTAACTCCTCAAGTCTACATATACCTTTTTATTATAAATCCTACCGCTAATTGACCCCCTAACCCTAAAAAAATGCCAAAAAATGCAACCAAACCTTTGTTTTTTCGGTAGTTTATCTATTTTACAATATACCCCATTTCATCTGAGTTCATTTTAATCCGTCACAATAAATTGCTGAATTCCTCTCCTTTGTACAACCTAGCTATTTCTTAGTTTCTGTGATAACTTATAATATCGTAACTCAATAATAGATAATATATTCTCGTGTTAACTTAATTATTTATGGCAATCAGTAGTTAGATTTCCTGATTTTCACTTGGCTGTACCTCATATTGGTGATTTATTATCTTAAATTTAATGTTATGCTCTTCTAACTTATAAATAATACTGTTTAATCATTATTACGGTATGATACCCAAATATATGCGTAACACCAAAAAAAAATTAAACTTAGGTTTTCAAGGTTATTTACCAAATTTAAACTAATCAGAAATATGCAAGATACGTCATTACGTCGTTGGTCATAACTAAGTCCAGTAATTACTTTATTGTCGCAAGATGACGTGTATGAGCGTTATTTGAATACTGGTCCAAATTATCTTAAATTAGACCGAAATTCGTAATTTCACCATACGCGTTATTTCGTGACAATACGGTGGTTTTCACCATACGTATAAAAATTTTTGTCTCTTTATGGTTTTTTATATAATTAAATTTATATAGAAAAATTTGACTGAATATATATGCAATGAATTATGTGCATAATATGCTCTGTGTAATCTTTGATATTTTATTAATGATTATGGTGAAAAGTTGTGAATTACGTGCACATTTCTAACCAAAAACATGTGAAACTTTTTAAAAAAATATGCTCTGAGCCAGTATTAGAAATCTTATGTTCTCATGAGAACATGACAACATTGCTTTAAATTTGAGAACATTTACAAAATTTAAGATGTTCTCTATAAAATTTTTTTAAAAACAGTATGTTTGAAAAATATGTTCTCTATGTAGGGCTCCTAGGTTAGAGTCCGGTCCGGGTTTGATCAAACTTCAGACTCAAACCAGACTCAAACTCAAAATTTTACTAATTTTCAAACTCAAACCAAATCAAACTTTTTTTTTTCAAACTCAAACTAAACTCAAACTTGATTTTAAGTTTGATCTGTGTTTGGTTTGAAAGTTTGCAAACAGTTTGAAGTTTGAAATATTATATAGTTATTGCATGCTTCGCATGCAATAACTGTAGTATTTTATGGACGATCCTGATTGGTCGGTGATCCCAGCCGGTACGGCTGGGTCATCCGAACAATTAGGAAACAGGAGGAACCGTTGATACGTCACAAAATCGTTACACAATTGATAAAAATTTTTTTTATATTATTTTACAATA